CTATTTGCTTAGTATGCCATACTTGAGGTTTACCGGATGCCTGAGCCTGTTCCATCTCTTTATTCCTTAGGCGTTGCACCCTTCTCTTCTGGCTTCTTGCTAAACCTCCTGGACACCATTGGCCTTCCTGCCAAACACATTTTCTTTCGTTGCCTTCTTCTTCATAACCAGCCCAGTCTTGGTCAACAACTCGTTTTCCAAGCCGATCATGAACACTTTTATTTTTTAAGCGCCGATCCATGTTATTATGATGATATACATCTGGAGTATGGATAGATCGGTGGTTGGTTTAAGATTGCCTAAACTTCCAATATTGATTGCTGCATTCTGGACAGTCATGTCTGGTAGACAACTTCAAACCTTCATTCCAGCAATGTCTGAAGAAAGGACAATTCCAAAGTGATTCGACTTGTTTCCTTTCATACCTCTCTCTTTCCAGTTGACGCTGGTATTCTTGATCCTTTAACCAACGCTGATAATCTTTTTCCTTCTGCCGCTGCCACTTATTCAACAGAATCTGAGATGTAACTTGTGGCTTTGTCGTCCCTGCTTTTGACGTTCCTCACTGCTCATATCGGCTCTTTTGCTCATCGCGACATCTCTTAATTTCCCTGTATTCATCGGCCGATATTTGCATCTTGGGATCGACTGTTCTAGCTTCTTTTGATTTGGTTGATGTTAGGACCTTAGTCTTTCCTTTGATTAGTCTAGCATCAACCATGATTTGATCTCCTGGGAAAGGATTATCAACTTTCGTTTTCCGAGGCGTATCAAATTTGAGCCTTCCTTGCTGAATAGCCCTCTGTATATGCTGTCGGAAGATTCTACATTCATTAGTGGAATGAGAAGTAGCGTTATAGAATTTGCAGAACTTCTTATTCTTCAACTGATCAGGGAGCAACATAACATGACCATTGGGCAACTTGATCTGCCCCTTCTCAAGCAAGAAATCAAAGAGCTTGTCTGATTTTGTGACATCAAAGTCATAGCTCTCCTCGACTCTTCTTCCCCAAGGATTTGGCACCATTACTATTTTCTTGCCCCCATTCCATTCAGCCGCAGCAACCTCTTCTTCTTCATCTTCATAGCCGTCATCGACTGAGTATGGATTGTAAGCCTCGGCCACTGTGGTACTTTTCTGAAATCGGGTATCTCTGCACATACTCTGGAATTGGCTATTGAGCGCTGCCACTCGTTGAGCCAATTGACCCAAGTTATCAAATTCTTGTCCCAGTAACTTTTCTTTTCACATTGGTAGCATTCCCTGAACGGCTAAAGTAGCTAGTTGATCATCAGCCAAGTTTAAGGAGAAGCACAAGTTCCTAGCCTCTCGGAACCTCTGAAGAAACTCAGTGTCTGATTCATTAGTCTTATGCCTTATAGTTGTCAAATCGGTTATCTTCTTTTCTCCAGTCTCAGTGTAAAAATATGTATGAAACTTCTTCTCTAAGTCAGCCCAATTGGCAATGGAATTGACTGGTAGTGATGAAAACCAAGTGAATGCTGGCCCTGATAGGGACAAGGAGAAAAAATGAACTGGATGGGCATCCTCAACTGATGCCTTGCCCAATTGTGTAAGATAGCGACTGACATGTTCTATCGTACTTGTACTGTCTTGGCTAGTAAACTTAGCGAACTCTGGGAGCCTATAATTTATGGGAAGAGCGACCAAATTATACCATTCTAGATATAGATGTTTGTACGAGAAGGTCAGCCCTTTTGGCTTTAGACCGAACTGATTCTTCATCATCTCGGTCACCTTCAACAGCAACTCATCATCATTTGAATTTGGATTTCTCTGTACTTGCTGACCCATCTGTGGATTGAAATCCCGTGTGCCTTGATACCCTGGATTTAGAATCATGTGAAGGGTGTTATAATCTATGCTATAGTGATACCCTTGTGGAATCTCCATCTGCTGGGTTCTTTGCTGGCTTGCTGCTTGAAGTCTCTGATTATAGACATAAGGATTTATATTTCTACGAATTCTTTAAATTGAGGGTGCTATTTTTTGAGCCGACAACGGTATGTGGCCTATTGTGCCAGAATTGATCACCTAGTTCTGACCTTGCCTCGCTCGGCCATTGCACATGCTGTACTGACGGTCCAGGGTTATACTGTATTTGATTCATAGTAGTACCTTGAGCTTGTTCAGATGAACCATAAACTGCCTGGACATCACCATTACCAGCTGGTGCTGCTTCTTGATGGCTGGTACCGACTTGATTAGTCCCTTGGGTCGATGGATCTAGAATATTGTAATAAGTCGGCCCAACTTGACCAACTAGAAACCCATAAATCGCTTCTTTCATGGCGTTATGGAATGTGTCCAAGAAAGCTTCATTTTGGCTTGATATGGCATCACGAACATATTTGTCTACAACTTCCGTAAAGAAACGTCTGTCTTCAGCTTCAGTTGTATCTATCTGCCCGTGTAATAGAACTCTTCGTAGTGGAAATTTCTAAACAATTGTGTTGTCACGTGTTTTGGTGTAGGACAACAAACATTTGCTCTGAAACTCTTCTGTAGCTTTGCCGATGACATCTTTATCTCCATCAGGTAGATCTTCATAATGTAGCATAAGGATGTCTTTATTGTTGTGAACCACCATGACGATTGTGGGGTCCCACCGAGCGTGCCAGAAACGTGTGTCGACACGAGGAATTTCGTCCCGTGCCGATGGCACACGAGCAAGCCGGAAGGGTTCGCTCAATGGAGCTGGATATCCGCCTAGCTTCAGCGTAGGGGTGGTCTATCCTGCGCGCTCCTCTCGAGACGTGATCCATTATCAATTTTGACCCTCAATTTACAAAAGAGAAAGAAAGTTTATCAATAATTAAGAATATACAAGGCAGAAGGTGAATATGCGGTGTTGCGGCCATATTGGGTGGCCTTCGAATATGCGGCTCTGAGAGCCGATATGAAAGGAGATTGACTAAATAGTCGATTCCAGCATATTCATAAGAGTAAATCGGTTAAAGCTCATGAGTTTATGTAAGAAGAATCGGTTATAGTTCTGGATGAATATCATTATTTAGACAAATATTAGTCACTGGCAAAGGATATCAATAGTAATTAGTTCAGGCTAAGCCAACGACTGCAAGTAACTGAACCCCTTCTTATGTAAAAGAAACATCTCATCATCATTCAACCATTTAATAAAGATAAATCTAATGAACATATTAGATCTCATCTATCGCTATGACCAGTGTGGCATAAGGTAGAATCATGCAGGCCGTAGAAACAACAATAGACTCGACGACCCTAACTTATTACTAATATCAGTGGGGCATGAGGCAGAATCATGCAGGCCGTAATACAATAATAAGATCATGGGGCTAACACATCTTTCAACCTATCGCTACTTCAACGATCTCGTGACGTGAATGAGACTCTCAAGGGCGCTGACAGTGTGTATCTTGGTGTTCGTGAAAACACTCGATATCGCCTAAAACAGTTGGCCGATTCAGGGCATAGCGCATGATTAAGATTATGCCCTCTAAAAGCAGATCTATCAAATAACGATCCCCACTCCACGGTGCAGGAACAATGGGGTGTGAGGCAGAATCACACACCGGTAGAGCCGTGATAACGGGCCCAAAGAACGGTTTTAAGCTAGCCAATAGATCTACTTAAGATCAAACATGTCTTAACCGCACGCTATGCACGATTAAGATTGATATAAAACAGCCGATAAAACATAACTCATCGTTTAAAGTGCAGATTAGATCAAATTTAGATTAACAAATGATTGGTTAAACAAGATATAAGGCCGATCTAGATCAATCCCAATGGAGACGGCGACCTTCGAAGATGATATTGACAAATTAAATTGTAATTAAATAAATAATGGAAGCAATATCGGTAAGTTAATGAATCTATCCAAAGAAACGCTACCCTTAGATAGAGCCGATAACTTGACCTTAATCTAATTCGAGCAGTGGAGGTTGATCTAGATACTATCGATCGATCGATCGATGCTTACTTTTACATACTTGAACTAGACAAGAGTCGATAACTAACTTATACGTAAGTCGCTAGTGAGGGGTGGAGGTCGACCCGGATCGATCTGTACCAGACTAAATGATAACAGAGGTATAAGCCATGGGACGGTACTAAGGGTGTGAGAGAAAGTCGTTTCATACGGTGACAAGCAAAGGAGGTGGAAGTCACAAGAACCGGATCGATGCAACCGTACTTGTTGAAGAACTCGCCGAGATCTACTCTACTCCTACTCATAAGGGGTGGCCGGAGCCAAAAAAAGTAAATAACTGGTATTTGATTGATTGTGTGTCTTTTACAATAGCCGGGGTCCGATATTTATACCCAGAGTCTAAACATGAATTCTACTCGATCACGATTCGTTACAATCTTTGGCATAAAGGAAAACATTCCTAATTTGAGATAACTTGGACCCTAATCTTTTCCTTTTTGTAGAGTCCGTTATGTAGTTTCTGGCGCCAACCATAGCTCCTCATCGCTATCCACTGACGTCATCTAAGAGATCCGATTTCAGAGTCGTATCCGAATTAGCTGATATCGATCTTTATGCGATCGATTCCTTGTTTGGCACAGCTTTGGAAGCCTGCGAGTTCCCGCGTTCTTTTCGCAAATTTTGGTGTAAACACTCTGCATTGCCAAATCATAGAAAATAAAACAATGTCAAACTATCCCTGCATTGCCAGCAGTGTTTTGTCAGTTACTGCCCAATCTCCTAATGAGTTGGTGACCATCCTTGACAGTTTTAGACTGGCACATTACCTTCAGTCTTATGTTGATATTGGATTAGATTTTAAACTGACATCTTCCCCATGTAGTTGCAGGCTGCAGGACAAATCTTGACAGGAATTAGAAAGCTGGGAAAGCGAATGAAGTATCTCGAGGAAACTATAGAGCACACATGTTCAAGTCCACTAAATTAAGTTTTATTTCTGAAGACCAGTAATTGGACTTGGCTGGCCAAGGCGAGAGGAGAACGGAGAGGCGGAGTGGCGAGACAATGGGGCCATCGTCGGCTGTGGGTAGAGGGGGGTGGTAGTTGGGCCAGTAAAGGGTGGCGAATTCATAAGGATGGCCTGATGACGTGGGTTAGTGCGGCGGGAGCAGTAGGGCTAGACGTGTGACCGAAGGCTGACAAGGATGGAGCAGATTGATGAATCCACTACTCCTGAAAATAAGAGTTTTTTTATAGAAAAAACTATGAACACTGCATTAGTTATCCATTACTCTCTCAACTTCAGAGTTCAGACCTACAGCTTTTCTGGAATAAAAGATCCAACTAAGAAAAGAAGAGAAATATGCAGGAAAAGGCATTACTAACAAATCACTGTATGGCTCACTGTGCAGCAGCAGGGGGCAACCAGACAAGGGCAGAAGGGCGAGGTTGCAGTCTTCAGGGGCAGCGCTTGGCCACTTGAGGACTGGGCACCAGGCGCCTGACGCCCTGGCTGGGGGCTTGGCGGACGCTGGCCGGTGGATGCTGGTGGGCACGGGGCTAGCCGACGGGGTGAGGTTGGCCCAACAGGTTCTAAGCTATTGGCAAACAAATATAAACAAGAAACAAATATAGATAGGAAAATTAGGAAACAAATATAGACAGGAAAATCAATCTAGGCTTCAGAAAACAAATAATGCACTGGCTGGCTGCTTAGTTTCGGCAGAGGTCGCGGTTACCAACATTGTCAAACTTAAATATGTAGCCTCCAGACTGAGAAAATATATATGCATCTCATACTAACATTGCAAGCCAAACTGGTAGAGTTCCAATTGATATCAATTGGAATTGATCTACTATTTATTTCTGACCCTACAAGAAAATATATATGCATCTCCTTTTTTGTGGGAAAGTACCAACATCCACCATTTCACTTTGACACTTGTATTCAGGCTTTGGCCGCTGCATTATGTATGAACATTTATGTAGTAGGGCTGAATCAGCCATTCGACATTGAGATTGACAAGGTATTTTTGTGTTAATTTAAATCGTGTTTGCTGCCAATAACATTATTGTATATTAGTCAAAGTTTCTGGTACCTTTTGAAGGTCAATAAGCTAACTCTCCCATCGGCGTCCGGAGAGTTTTCAGTGCCAACTGCAGTGTTATTAGTAATGTCATTTTTTGTCATGGTATGTTATAAGTTCAACACAGAGATCTACGAACCATCTATTCGGGTCAGCAAGAAGTATCTTTCATGGTCTTATAGCTTTCTCACATTGTTCTTTTTCTCCAATTTGTTAGAGCATTAGCATCGGGGTAAGATCGAAGTCTGCTCCATTGATGTGTGCTTTACTTGTTAGCTTCCTTCTTGGAAGTGCATATTCCATTGATGTAAGTAATTCATGCCTTTTCCTGTAAATTTAGGTGGAGTTCCAAAAATTCATATGCACCCCATTGCCTTCGCTTTGAAATTTGAATCTCTCTTGCTACTTTAATTTTCAGGTTCCATTACTCCGGTGGAAGCAAAATGCCTTTCTAGCTGCATTTTGCATAATCTTTGTGATGGCTGTATTGGTTCAGTTAGCATTCTTTGCACACATGCAGGTAGCTAATACTGTTCACATATACCCACTGAATTACAAATGCATTTTTTTCCTTTTGTTTAGTGCCTGATGGTACTTTTTGCATAGCAACATGTCCTGAAGAGGCCCTTGGCACCAACAAGGTCGGTGGTCTTTGCAACATGTTTTATGTGTTGCTTCTCTGCAGTAATAGCGCTATTCAAGGTATGTATTCTTAATGTTAAGATCAAGGCTTTTAGATATGTATGTTTATTTGATACAGGAATTCATCAGTTAATTTTTTTATTTATGTATGAGACTTTAGGATATTCCTGATGTTGATGGAGATAGATATTTCGGCATTCAGTCCATGACTGTAAGGTTAGGCCAACAGAGAGTAAGAGCATGCCTATTCAGCAATAAAACTATAATGTATATAAACCGTGCAGATTTAATATTAGATTTTAATGCTTCAGGTGTATAGGCTCTGCATTAATATTCTCATGACAGCATACGCAGCTGCTATTTTGGTAGGAGCATCATCTACAAACCTATATCAGAAGATTGTCATTGTGAGTGACGGCACCTTTCTTTCAAAAACAAAGATACATATACATATTTTTTGTTCATTTCATATTTCATCAATCTAAAACCTTATTCAGGTGACTGGTCATGGCTTGCTTGCCTCCACACTTTGGCAAAGGGCACAACAATTTGACATTGCGAATAAAGAATGCATCACACCGTTTTATATGTTCATTTGGAAGGTGTGTAAAAGCTTGTGCTTTGTAATATCAGTAAGCCTTCTATCAATCTTTAAAGAAAGAAAAGACCTACTAATGTGCTTATGCCTACTGATTTATTTCTTTTTTTACCATCTTGCAGTTATTCTACGCCGAGTATTTTCTTATACCATTTGTATGAGGTTTATTGCTAATGATACTCTATCGAATGGTCTGAATGTCTATGCGTCATTTGTATGTAATATGACTTATGGTTGTATCAAAGTAACAACTTGTAACACCCTAAAAATTTGACATAGTTTAAAAACCACTAAAAATTTGAACTTTTTAAAACTTTGCATAGGAACTAGAATATATAACTAACATAGGTAATATTTACAAAATAAACTAACATAGGAAAACAAACTTGATGTGTGAAACATTGTGTGCTTGAGTGTTTGCTTGCTTGTTGAACATACGGTGGTACTTTATTTAAAAGTTGCATTTGAATTTGAATTCAAACCATTCCAAATTAACATAATAGGAAGTAAGGAAAATAGAAAAGAGAAAGAAAATAGAAAAGAGCTACTGGGCTCCCTTTCCCTTCCTCTCTCCTTTCGGCCCGCAGCGCAGCCCACTGAAAGGTCCTAATGGCTAGAGGGGGATGAATAGCCTATTAAAAATTTCTATAACAACACTTAACAAACCGGTTAGACAAATATAGGACGAAACGAGTGTTGTGCTAGCCTACTAAAAATGCAAGCCACCTACCAAAATTCTAGTTTCTATAGTCTCTATCCACACAATAGCTATGCCATTACACTAAGTTAGTATGCTCTTAAATGCTAACTAAAGAGCCACACTAACCAAACTAACAAGCTCTCACGACTAGCTACACTAAAGAACTTGACAAATAGTTTGCGGTATTGTAAAAAGAGAGCAAGATGGTTATACCATCGAGTCGAGGAATGAACCAATCAATCACAAGAATGAATACCAATGAATACCAATCACCTCGGAATCAAATGTTGACACAATAATTTTATATCGAGGTTCACTTGCTTGCCGGCAAACTAGTCCTCGTTGTGGCGATTCACTCACTTGGAGGTTCACACGCCAAACCTTCAATAGGGTGCCGCACAACCAACATAAGATGAGGATCCCACAAGCCACGAGCAATTTACTAGAGTACCTTTTGGCTCTCCGCCAGTGAAAGGTCAAGAACCCCTCACAATCACCGTGATCAGAGCCGGAGATAATCACCAACCTCTGCTCGACGATCCTCGCTGCTTTAAGCCATCTAGATGGTGGCAATCACCAAGAGTAACAAGAGAATCCCGCAACGAAACATGAACATGAAGTGCCTCTAGAAGCAAACACTCAAGCAATATACTTGGATTCACTCCCAATCTCACAAAGATGATGAATCAATGATGGAGATGAGTGGGAGGGCTTTGGCTAAGCTCATAAGGTTGCTATGTCAATGCAAATGGTCAAGAGAGTGAGCTTGAGCCGGCCATGGGGTTTAAATAAAGCCCCCATGAAATAGAGCCGTTGGCTCTATGTTCTCTAAAAAATTGGGGCGACCGGACGAGCTGGTCAGATCGACGACGCAGGACCCCAGCGTCCGGTCGTGCGATGCATGCCATGTGGCCCCTGCTTCAAATGCTGATCGCTCGATCTCAATGGTCATCAGTGCACTTAAGTTGTGACTGAATGCTCTACAGTGTAGGACCGGACACAGGACCCCAGCGTCCGGTCACTTCTAGTAAGGTTCCAGTCGCGACCGAACATGTCCGGTCACGCCCGACCGGACTCGCCCAGCGTCCGATCACTTACCCTCTTCTTTGTGCATCGCAACATCAGTAGGACCGGACGCTGAACAGTGTTCAGCTAGAGTCCAATCGCCTGCGTCTGGTCATAGGCCGAGAGTACCACTTTCTTTTATAATTGACCGGACGCTACTCTCCAGAGTCCGGTCACACATGAGGACAGCGTCCGATGCACTCTATGAACCCCTGTCTTTTCTGTACAGGGCTCCGGTGGCACCGTCGGACTGTCCGCACTCTATGGGTGGACACTCCGCCGGTGAAGTTTTGAACCCTTGCTCCCAAGTGTTAAACATAATGTGTATCACCTTTGTGCATGTGTGTTAGCATATTCAAACATTTTCAAGGGTGTTAGCTTTCTACTAGATCCTAAATGCATATGCAATGAGTTAGAGCATCTAGTGGCACTTTGATAACCACATTTCGATACGAGTTTCACCCCTCTTAATAGTACGGCTATCGATCCTATATGTGATCATACTCTCTAAGTGTCTTGATCACTAAACCAAAAAGCTCCTAATAGTTTCACCTTTACCTTGAACTTTTTGTTTTTCTCTTACTTCTTTTCTAACTCCAAGCACTTGATCATCACCATGGTATCACCATCATCAAGTCATGATCTTCATTTGCTTCACCACTTGGAGTGGTGCTACCTATCTCATAATCACTTTGATAAACTAGGTTAGCACTTCGGGTTTCATCAATTTACCAAAACCAAACTAGAGCTTTCACCCACCTCCTCCCCCTTCTCCCTCTCCCACGTGGGCCGGCCTCCAGCCCAATGCAGCAACGGCAGCCCGCGTCCCCCTCGTCCCTCCTCTCTTCGCTGACAGGTGAGGCCCGGCTGTCAGCTCTTTCTTCCTCCTCACGTGAAGCCACGTCCGCCCAGCCGTACCTGCCCTGCCGTGGCCCATCCCGGCGCTTGGGAAGACGAGCGCACAGTCACAGGGTTGACGATGCCCCGAGCCATCCCATCTCCCCCTCTCCCCTCTCCCTCCTCTTTCTACGCCCATAGTGTGTCAACGCTGGCATGGTTGCCGGCAAGGGAAATCCCACCGACGTGACCAAGCATGGCGCCGGCCTCGCTAGAGTACGAACAAACGTGGAGGCATCCAGCTCACCATTACTGAGCTCGAGCACGTGTGTGAGGTGGAAAATATCCACCGGCGGGCGAGAAAATATCTCGCCGCCACCACCAACCTTGCCCGCCTATAAAAGGGCCTGGCCGGAAAGCCTCCGCCTCAACCATCACCGCTACGAGCCCCGCCATGAGCTGGAACATACCATCTCCCCCTCTGTTTGCTCCTCCTCCCTCTCTGTAGAGTGCTAGGTCAGTTTCCCCTAAGTCATGTACCGATGACGCCATTGGAGCTTTCTTCTTCTTCTTCACCTCTCGCTGCGTCCCCAGCCAATTGGAGCAGCAGGTGAGTTTCCCCAGAGCCTTCTTCACCATCTAGTGTAGTTAGTTTTCCTTCCTCGCCTCTGTGTTGCGCTCTCCACGTGTGTCGTGCACCACCGATTCGCCATGGCCACCGGCTAGCCATCGGCAAGGCTCAGCTGGTCCTCACGCCACTTCCACTGCACTCCCCACACCCTCGTGCACATGCACATGTAGTTAGTTAGTAGGATAGGTTCGTTAGGAGCACATTCATCACTCGCTACCGCCACACTAGCTCTGGTGAGCCACCACAGCCGCCTCGGGCACTCGCTACCGTCGTGGACCTCACCACCGGCCATGGCGAGCCTCCCCGAGCACCGTCCACCACTTAGACACCTTCACCAGGGTCCAACGCCGTCGGTGTAGCTCACTCCGGCGAGCCTGAGCCCCCTCCCCTATTCTGGTCAGGTGCCGACAGACTCCGTCCGGCCGCCGTCTCCCTCTTCCCCTCCTTCTCTCTCTGATGGGTGGGACTAGGACAAAACGACGTCGCCGTTGCCGTCCATCGCCATCTTATACCTGCCCCCCTCTTTCTCTCTCTATCGTGTGGGCCACGGCCAATGCCACCGACGTTGTCTTCGGCTGACAAGGCAGTATGGCCCACCTGTCAGACACACACGCACACCACATACAACGCTGGGTACATAGTGGAAATTGCTAGGTACACCTGGTTAGTGTACACAGTGTTAAAAAACTATTTTCATGACTTAGAAAAATTCCCAGAAAATTTGTAAATAAACTAGATGCATTAGGGAATGTAATCATGTATTGCACATATTTTCATGCACCAAAAAATGCATATAAAATTCCACTTAGTTAAATAGCTATAGGATAAACTTATAAAATACATAACTTTTAAACCCTAACTTCTTTTTACATGAAACCACCTCTAAAATTCACCTAAAATCCAACCCCATTTGCACCTAGTACCACCATGTTGTTCTATGTTTGCTTTTGCCTTTCTTTTGTGGTTAACGGTAGTCTTATTTCGATCGACACGCCCGAGCAGACGGCGGTGATCGTCAAGAGAATGAGGACCCAGATTTCGTAAACGTGCCAGAAGGTGACAACGACGAAGGCAAGTCCTAGCTCCCCTCCCTACGATCTTGCTTTAAACCACTGAAATGCTAAAACATGACTATAAGATTATTACCCTAGAATATGAGCTCGGTCAATGTGATATGATTATTGTTGAATTAAGATAAATGGTTATCTTATTATTTTATGAGCTCTACACCATGAATAGACTTAGGGATAATAATAGAACTTAAAATTGTTAAACAAAAACTAAACCCCAACATGGGGCGAGTGGTGGTAAACTATGGAGGTAGTTTACCATGGCATGGATGCCTAGAGAGGATTCCTATGGGAGATACTCGCCTCGGTCACATAAGGACCAGTTCATAGTCCCTCTTGCCTAGTGAGTTATTACGTACAACCACATGTCTATATGGGTAGGCTTGATCTCACACCCCGTTAGATAGAAGTATAATTTCTACTAGGAGGCCGGTGTAGGCAGCGGAATATTAGGAGCCGACACGGGGGATAGGTTTTCTTCTGTGGTCCGGTTGGCGTGGATGCTATGTGATCTTCCATGTTAAGCTTTTGGTTTTTGGCCACGTTCGAGCCCTTGATTTTCTTGGCCATGTTCGTGCCATGTTTTCTTTTATGATGATTTGGTATCATCACGTTTGGGGGATTTGGTATCTTTTTGGTTTTTGTGTTTTCAACCCCTGACATGCCGTAGTAGAGTTATATGGACATCTAAGGTCGCGTACATTCGGGTATGAGGTCTCGTTGGGTCTATTTTGTCCACTGATCATGGATGAGATTGCACCTATCATGTGGGGAAATTTATACACCTCTGCAGAGTCACTTAAACCTATTAGAATAGCTATGTCCTTGGAATGGGTAAATGCTAGGATAGGATACTAT